AGCTGCAAGTGTGCGGCGCGCTGATGAGATCAGGGCTCGCTGCTCGCCGGAGGGGCAGCTGAGCCGGCTGCCCGACGGGGCGATGAGCGGGGAGATGGGCTCATCCGCGGGGCCATCGCTGCGGGGAGAGCTGGAGGGCAAGGGGACGTGGAGAAATCCCGGTGACCCCGCTCTGTTCGGCCTCGTGGCGTGGTTAAAATGAGGCAGGAGGAGAATTGTTTTTTTTTCAGATAAAGGGAGCAAACGGCGAGGTGGGGAGGGTGCTGCCTTCACCCCAGGGCTCTGCTGTGCCCTGGCTGTGGTCTTCCCATGGGGATGCAAAGTTTTTTCTTCCCACTGACCCCCAGTTCACCCATCAGCCCCAAAATGCAGCCCCAGCCCAGCCCTGATGGCTTTCAGGTCTCCGTGTGGGGAACCTGCCACACCAAAAGGGGATTTTGCTCCTGGTGTGGCTGGAGGAGGCCAAACACTGCCGGGGTTGCATCTCTGCCTCCTGCTGCTGCTGCTGGGAGGTTTGTGGCCATGCGGCCCTGCGCAGGCACCATCCCCATGTCCCCATCCATGGTGGTGGTCCCCAGCCCATGGCCAAAACCCTGAGGATGTTACACTTTGGCAGGGCAGCTCAGGAGAAGCCATTTCGGAGCTATTTCTGCTATTTCCCTCTGTGCCACCCTGGACCTCCTCGCTGAGCTTCAAATCCACCGAGCTGTCCTCCCTCTCTGCCAGCCTGTCCCTGTCTCCAGCCCCTCGGTGGTCCCAGTCCCACCCCAAATTCTGCGGAGGCAACCCCAGAGCCCCGTTTGCAAACCGGGGTGACGAAGGGGCCGTGGGGTCAAAGCCGTGGGTGAGCCGAGGGATGCCACCGTCACCCACCAGCTTGGTGATGCGAATCCAACCCTCCTCCTCCTCCTCCTCGCCTTCCTCCACGCACCATGTTTTTTTGGTGCAGAGCGAGCCACGAGAGCCTGAGGAGGGCCAGACCTGGTGCCGTGGAGGGGCACCGCCACCCGGAGAGCTTCCCCACCGCCCCGGTCTGGAGCTCGCGCTGGCGAGCGGGGACAATATAGGAAACGCGCCATGGGAAAGCCCTGTGTGAGAGCCCAGGAGCCCCTGCCTTCCCACAGCGGATTTATCAAGGCACCCGCTCGGAGTGGTGCTTTCCGTGGGCCAAAAGGGAAGTGCAGACACACCAGACTCCTCGGGGTCAAGGATGCTGGGCGAGCAGCGAGCCGGGGAGGCTGCAGGGGGCAGGGGAGGGAGCCGGGGCGTGGGGAGCGAGCCACAAATAGCCAAATGAATGGCTCCAACTTCCGATGTTTTATGGAGGAGACTGCAAGCAGACAGAGAGACGGGGAGAGAAGGGAGCCCCCGAGGGTTTGCAAACTCTTGCACGCACACACAGAGCCGGCCAGGAGCCCCGGTGCCATCGGTGGTGGCTTGCACCCACCTGGTGGGCACGGCTCTTTTGGGATCGTCCCTCTCGGGGCACGACGGGCTGCTGCTCTGCACTTCTTCCTCCCCCCCATCACTATTATTTTGAGCAGCAGCCAGGATAACTGCAGAGGTTCGAAGGAGGAGATTTAGGGAAGAGCATCTGCAAAGCTGGAGGTCCCAGCTCCACCCTGGAAATGAGCAGGGCCTGGGGGAGCCCTCAGCTCCTCCGTGTCCCCCCTTCCACGCTCCCCGTTTCACAGCGGGGCAGAGGCTGGGTTGCCACGCGGGGTGGTCCTGGCCATGTGTCCCCTCCTCGGCTGCTCCCCACCAGACGAGGTGTGGAGAAATCCCTTGGCTCCCCAGAGGAGAAATCAGGAGATTCTGCATGGCAGAAATGGAAGCTGGGCCAAATTCTCTGGTTTTCTGAAGTGTTTGGATAGAGAATTTCGGTCTCCAGGGTCAGATGTCCCTAGCATCAGGGCTAGACATCTGCAGCAAGGAGGGGGGCAAAAGGCAGGATCCCTGCCTCTAGTTTGGGGTTGCAATGATCTCATGTCTAAGGGACTGCTTCCTCCACCTCTCTCCTCTTCCTCTCCCAAATGTGAGCTGCCCTGGGCTCGGGGAGGAATCACAGAGCCGCTCTCTGCAGGGCTCATTCCCCAAATTGCTGCTGTGTTGGTAAAGCCTCCAGCAGCTGTTCCCATCTCCCTACTGGTGCTTACGGTGCTGGGTGAGGATTTGGGGTCAATCAGCTCCTCGCTGTGTGGCTGTGACCCCAAGGCTGAGATCCCACAGACCCGGGCACACCTGAAGGAAGGGGTGTTTGGGGTCAGAGCTTCCCTGTGGGGTTTGTAGGGGCAGGGGGGCAAGGCTGGGCCCAGGAGGGGCTCATCTGCACCTCCAAAAATGCACCAGGCTGAGCCTCTGTGGGCTTTAACCAGATGGGGCCACCGTGGTCGGGAGCAAGAGAAAAGGCGATTTTGGGGCAGCTGACCTCCAAATGAGTGACCCGAGCCACCCGAGCCACCCGCCAGGTCCCAAATCTGCTGAGAGCCACTCGGGAAATGCGGTAACCCGGGGGCAAAACCAGGCGAGGTATCGCAGGGTTTGCTTTTTTTTTTTTTCACAGCAAATTCTTCCTCCGGGAGCCTGCAAGCAAGGAACCACACGTGGAGACTCTCCGGGAGCCCCCCCAGGCGTACAGGGGTCAACTCGAGCCCCCTCCCAGCCTTTTCCCCGAGCCGGGCTCCAGCGCCGGGCTCGCCCCTGCTCCGTTTTTAGCGCATTGAAGTCGCTGCTTTCACAAGGGGTAAAGGAAAGTTCACGGCTCCGTTGACAGATCGGCCCGAAGCGGGAATTTCTCTGGGAATTCCTGCAATAGCAGGTTGGCTCCCGCGGAGGTGGAGTTTCCTCTGCATCTACCTCCACCCAAGCTCGGGGAGCGCTCCGGCCACCGGCTCGCGCTCGGGGAGGGCTGGGCTGAGCGACGCCGCGCTGCTTCCCAGCCAAGGTCAGCCAAAAACCCTCCCCGCGCCGCTAACGCCTGTCCTGTTAACCCTTGGGGAGAGAAAAAGAAGAGGGTGGAAGGGTCAAGGCTTGGCTGTGGAGCTGCTCCGTGCCCTCCACGCGTGCGTTTTGCTCTCCAGCTCGGCGGGCAGCGGATGGGGCCACCCGCGTGCGAGCGTTTTGTGCAGTCACATCCCTGCGGGTCCCGCTGCCATCGGGAAGCCGTGGAGGCTCGCTGAGGATGGCCACCGTGCTGGGAGGCCGGTGGGAGGCCGGTGTTTGCCGGCGGTGGGCTCCAGCAGGGTGACGGGCTTCTCGCTCCGAGGCGAGGAGCGCCGAGGCGATGGCGCTCGGCGTGACTGAGAGCTCTGGAATCCGAGACATGTCCCGGGCCATACTTGTGGTCGGGAACCATGTTCGCCTCGCAGTGATACAAACCACATTTACAGTGGCAGCAGTGCCTCTCCAACGCTCCGCTGACGCCAAGGACCGGCGTGACCCGACCCCACACAGGGGACAGGCGGCCGCCCGCTCCCAGGGACCTCCAAAAAGGTCCCCTCGCCTCCTCCTCCTCCCGAGCAGAGCTGGGCCTCTCCAAAATGGCATCCCCTCGCTCCCTGGCCAGACCCTGCCAAGGGATGGAGGCTTTCCAGACGCTGTGAAGGCTCCAGACTGTGGGTTGGAGCGCGTCTGCAAACATGGGGCCAAGCCAAAAAGTTTCAAGGTAGCGCCAAGCGTCACGCCAGGGAGAGGGCCCTGAGTAGCTCAGGTTTGGTCCGGGGCCACCGCCGCTGCTTTGTGGATGAAGCTGAACGTTCGTCTCACACATCTGGGGAGCAGCTCTTGCTCCAGGGGATCCCAGACATTTGTCCAACTCAGCGGGAGCTGCTGTAAAGAACAGCGTAAGCAGCGGCTTTGGGTACCGAAAAGGCAGATTTGGGGCACGGCCACCCTGCAGTTTTAGCACCAGGCTGTTCAGCGCTCCCTGCCTCGGTGTAATGCCCTAAACTCCGTGACTTGCAGGGCTGAGGGAAGTGGTTGTGTCCCCATCCCTGGAGGTTTTTAGAAGACGTTTAGATGTCGAGCTGTGGAGGTTTAGTGGAGGACTGGTTACTGGCAGGGCAGAGGTTGGGCTGGGTGACCTTGGAGGGCTCTTCCCACCTAGACAATTCTGTGATTTTGTGATTCTGTGACCTGTGATTTTGTGATTTTGTGGTCCTGTGGGGCTGAGCTCAGGGATTCCTGGTTCCCAGCAGCTAATCCTGCAGTTTATCCCCCCAAATACCCGCTCCTTCAGCCCATCCCAGCCCGCTGGGGCAGCACCCAGCACCCATTGACAGGCAGCGGGCAGCACCCAGCGCTGCCTGGGGCTCTTTCCTTTCCCCTCGCCCCTTCTCCAAACCCTTTTTCCCAGCTGTGGAGGAGGCCAAGCAACTTCTCCTCCTGCCGGGAGCCTCCTGGGGACAGCGACAACTTTCTGGCAGCCCCAGGAGCCGGCTCCACACCCGGGCGCTGCGCAGCGTGCGAGTGCCACCTACAGGGGGGCTCCGGAGCCCATCCACGGACCCCAAGGGGTCGTGTTGTGCCCTGAAGCCCCCAAAATGTCTGCTTGTAACCACGGGGTGGGGGTTACACGGCCCTGAGGGCGTTGGGGTGGTGGTGGAGGGGGTGATGGAGGTGATGGGGGTGATGGAGGTGATGGGGGTGTAGGAGGTGTAGGACGTGGTGGAACTGTTGCCACAGCCCTAAGGGGCTCCTGAGGGCCGGGTTCACACCCGAGCCAGGCCAAGCGGCCGGCACAGCCCCAAAACAAACGCGCTCGGTCCCCGTTCGCCCGCTCAGCCCTGAAATGGCGGCGGGGGAGACACCGCGAGGCTCCCTCCCCCATGGGGCCTTCCTCAGCCCGCGGAAGCGGGGAGGACTACAACTCCCAGCATGCCCCTCCCAAAGCAGGGAGGTGGGCGCGGGGTGTGCTGGGAGTTGTAGTCCCCACGCACACAGCCGCAAGCGGGGGAAGAGGCGGGGCGGCCGCCACGGGGACTACAAATCCCGGCGTGCCCCGCGCGCCGCCCGCCCTCTCCACACTGCGGTACCGGGGCTGAGGTGGGCAGCGGGGCTCCGCCGCCGCCTCCAGCCTCCCCCCACCTCATCCCCGGTCCCTGTCCCCCCCCCCCCTCCCGGTCCCGGCCGCTGTGGAGCGATGGGAGGGGAGGAGGAGATCGTGAAGATCGCCCGGCGGCTGGACAAGATGGTGGCCAAGAAGAGCGCGGTGAGTGGCGGCGGCTGGCCCCCAGCCTCGCCTCAGCCTCCTCCCTTCCTCCCCCCCCTCGGGGCCTGTGCGGGTTTTGGGGCGGGGGGCGGCTGTCCTGAGGGGCCGGGAGCCGTCCCCGTCCCCGTTGTCTGCCTCAGGGCAGCCCCCCGGCCCCAACAGCCACGCCCCCGCTGGGTTTTGGGGGCCCTCTCTGCGCTGCGAGCCCTGGGGTGATGGGGGGGGAGCACAGACCCTTCCCCCCCCATTATCCCATTACTGTGGTGGTGAAGACCCCCTCGTTACCCCATTACTGTGGGGACACAGACCCCCCACCCACTCTGTTACCCCATTACTGTGGGGGCACGGGACCCCCCTGTTACCCCATTACCCTGGGGCACAGACCCCCCCCCCATTACCCCAGGGGTGCAGGACCCCCCCCATTACCATAGGGATGCAGACCCCCCCCCCCCTTGCTACCCCATTACCATAGGGATGCAGACCCCCCCCTGTAACCCCATTACTGTGGGGCTGCAGGAGACCCCCTTAATCCCATTACCATAGGGGTGGAGCCCCCCCTGTTACCCCAATACCGTAGGGGCACAGACCCCCCCCCTGTTACCCCATAACCATGGGGTTCCCCCTCCCCAAACTGGCTGCAGGGGGTGCCCCCCTCACCCCCATCTCTGCCACCGTGCTGTTTGCTGCCTCCTGCTGGGGTTGGGCTCCCCCATAGGGGGCTGTGGGATCCCCTCTGCCCCACGTTGCACCCCCAGGTCTCACCCACCCCCAGCTCAGCACCCTGGGGAGCATCCCCAGCCCTCCCTCCCCATCACCTCGAGTGGGGGGACCCTTGTGCATCTCCCCCAGGGGATGAGTTGTTCCCTGCAGGAAATCCTGAGGTTTGTGATTAGGGAATGTGGTGTTTGGGTTATGGTGTGCCAGGTGTGGCTGTGGTTTAGGTGAGTTTCTGGCTGCTGGGCTGCAGAGCAGGGGAGCACGGGCACTGTTGTAAGGTCCCAGGGACACACGCTGGGGCTCAGGAGCAGCCTGTGCTGACTGCTCCTGTCCACAGTGGGTTTTTGGTGCTGTCACTGGAATAGGAAAGGATGGTTGCCTGGAGAACCCGCTTGTTGCTCTAGTTTTTGTGCGGACCCCCCGTTTGCTGCTGTTGGTCTCTGAGTACCGATTTTAGGGACCCACACGTTGCCCAGTTGGATACGTTCTGCATCTGGGTTCCTGGAGGCAGAGCTGCTGCGAGGAGGCCTCGTGTGGGGAGTTTGGAGTGAGCAGCTCCTCAGCTTTGCTGCTCGAGGGCTTTGCTCCCGTTATCACTCCTAGTGCTGAGGGGACGGCTCTGATTCAGGGCGTATTTTTCAGGTGTTAAAGAAAACAAACTTGTCACATGAAGGTAATGGCTTGATGCTCAGTAGTCTTGAAGATATTTTAAGGAAGGTTTTCTGGTTTTGCTTTGATTTCACCTTTCTGAAATTATTCCCATCATGTTAAATTTCTTAATGAAAAGCTGAGGCACTCACTCCCGGTATCTCTTTCCCTCTCCAGGATGGTGCAATGGATTTACTGAAAGAGCTGAAAGGCATGCCCATGACTTTGGACTTGCTGCAGGTGAGTTGCACGGTTAGGGTATGAAGCTGAAGTCTGGACGAGCACACCATGCTGTTTATGTGGGCTTAATAGATGTCCCCTGACTCTTTGCCTCTCTCAAAACATCAAAATAAGCATTAAATCTAGAAATAGTACTGAACCTGCGCTTTGGGCTGGCAGTTAAATAGCTTTGGGCCACAACGTGCTGCCTGAATTTGATTGCAGTTGATCAGATTTGTGGATATCTGTTCAAATCCTTCCAGGGATCTCCAAAAGGGAAGACCAGATTAAAGTAGCGAACACAAAGGGCAGCTGGGGGAAGTTCTTGAAGTCTTTGTGATGGTGATGTGATATCCAGGACGCTGGGGAGGCGTGAGGAGAATAACAATTCGGAGATTAAGATAGGAATCTGGGATTTTTTCACTCTAAACTAGAGTGTTACTTCCAGGTGTGTGGAGGAGGTGTCTGTGGGTGATGGCATGCCTTGCTTGGCATCAGTTTTAGCAAGCCAGAGTCAGTCATCTCCTTCCAGAGCTGGAAGGATCTAATCACTCTGGAAAATGCTCGGATGCTACATATCTCGGTCGTTGCTTTGCCTGTGTTGTGGTTATTTCTGATTCCAGTTAGTAACAAGTAACGAATCTGTTCTGGAATGATTCATGTGAGTGTTCGCTTGCAGTCCACCCGCATCGGCATGTCAGTAAACGCACTGAGAAAGCAGAGCACAGATGAAGAAGTGATAGCGCTTGCCAAATCGCTCATCAAGTCTTGGAAAAAGCTTCTAGGTAAGGAAATCATCGTGTTCCTGTCACATTCAACTTGCAGAGGCGCTGGGTTTCTCAGGAGAACGTAGGGATTGATCTGCATAGAACATTCTAGCAAATCAGCCTGTAAAATTGCACTGTCTTTTGAGTTTCAGCTACAACCAGGGATTCCTCGAGATTGAATTCCTGTTGCCAACCCAATGGCTAGCTTTTCCTGGACAGAGCATTGAAAGCTTAGGGCTACTCTTAACACATACCTGATTATAGAATAATTAGTAGCATTAATTGTAGAAACAATACCTGTACTCTGCACCCTCCACCCCGACTTGTGTGCTACGTGGTATTAACACAGCATGCACTGTCACCGTGTGCATCAGCTTAGGAAGAGAGAAGCTGGAATGTGTTTTGGGTGATGAGTTGGAGAAGGGCCTTAATTTTACAACTTGCAGACACATTCACGTTGCCTGTTCTCTGCTGAGGAGGCTTTGACATCAATAAACAGAAGCTTGTAACTCTGTCAGTAATCTTGTGCTTATACAGCACCAAATGTCAAAATTATCAATAGAGGGCTTACAATTCTTGTCTTTGTGGTTACGTTTGTGGTAAAAGAGTGAGGTATTGGCAGTCTGGAAGCACAGCCATACGTGTGTCCTGCACACGTATCTTCCAGTCTGTGCCAGTGGCAAGTGCCCCCAGGTGAAATTCAGATGCTCTTCACGCTGACTGCTTGGGCAGCTGCGTGTAACAAAGACACGGGATGAAGTGTTTGAGGCTGAGTGCAATCTGTCTGCACCTAGGGCTCCCCATTTCTATTGGCAGCGCTTGAGACATGCAAGAAATTGTATTCCCAGAAGGAGCAGCCCTTACTGGCCCTTCAGATGGTGCTGGCTTGAAGCACTGCGTTTAGTGACGCTTTACAGAACTCGATCCAATTTGTGCTCGGCAGCCAGGGGCTCTGAAAGGAACTTTTGTGATGAGGCCTGTCTTGTGAGGAAGCTTATCTCCTAAGGAGGGAAGGTGATTGCTCGCTGCTCTCTGGTTTGATGGAGAAAGCTTTTATTTGATTTAGTTTCTACTTAGGGGCAAGTAAAAGGTCTGTTGGAAAGCATGGGAGGCCCTGAAGGCCTTCTCCTGATTCTTTTTGTAGATTAATAATTTACCTTACGCCAAATCTGTGGTTTTAAGACACTGTTCAGTGCATGCAGGGTTGTGGGATAAAAAAACAGTTCTGAACCCTTCAGGATCTGAGCTTGCTTTTTCTTTCTTTTGAACGTAGATGCTTCTGAGGAGAAGAGTGAGGAGAAAAAGAAAAACCTGTCCTTGCCAACTTCTTCCTCAAAGGACACTGGTAATTCAAAAGACCAAAGGTAAAGCTTCCTTTTAGCCAAAGATGATACCGTTAGCTAACCTGAATTTTCTGCTGCCATCTTACATTAATTTTTAAAAACTTTTAAGTGTCTGAGCTGGGGGGGTTGTGTACTCAAATTCCTGGTCAGAAGCACCAGGAGTCTAGGCTGCTTCAGGGGTGAGCTGCATGGTGTTCTTAATAAACTGAGCTGTAATGCAGAAATAAACATCAGAAAAGATGGTGGCTTTGGTGATTTTTTTGCTTTTATTCATGACTTTTTGTTTTGTTTTTGTTTTTTCTATTGTTTTGTGTTAATTTTTTTATTAATAAAACATTTTTTTGGTTGCATTTTTATATTTTTTTTTTGCCTGTTTCTAACTTTGAGCCCTTTAGAATGAAGATTATTTTTGGCCTTTGCAATGTCGAGTGATGGATGGCATTGACTCATGCATCGCTATTATCAAACTTCCATTTCTCTGTCCTCTCCTCAGCGAGTCCCAGCAGAAGTCCTCTTTTCACTCTGGACTGGTGTCCACCCCTCTAGCAGGTCTGCTGCATGCTTGTTCCTTGCCATGCCTTGAGTGTTGCATCCTCTTTTCCACCGTCCTGTACGTGCTAAGCTCTTGAGTGGAGGCAGTGGGATCAAAGGGGAGAGGGCAAAACGCGATTTAAACCTTTCCTCTGCACCTCTTCCAGAGGCAAGAGGCTTCCCTCAGCCTCAGATCCCAGGAGGGTGGGTCCTTAGGAGGTTTGGCACTAGAATATTTAGCTAGTTTTATGAGTTTGTCAGAAGATTTAGGGTATTAAGGATTTCCTTTCTGGTTTGCAGACTTCCATGTCCGCAGCCTGTCCCCTGCTGGTCGCTTTCTTGCCACTCTGTGCTTCGATTCTCCTTTTGCTTTTTCACTCACATCTCCCAAGGCTTGTTTTGGTGTGAGCCTTCTCACCCTTCACAGCTCTGCACGGGGCAGGTGACGGAGAAAGCTACTGCTGCTGAGCTATGAAACTTTAATTTAGGTGCATCTTTGGCCACCTCACCTCTGTAAAATGTGAAAAGGGAATCGCGAGGTGTTGCCATGAGAGATTTAATGAAGGAGACTTCACAGCTGGAAGAGCTGAGCCTTGTAATGACATGGTGCAGCATGGGAGCAGGATAGATCTGTGGGATAATGCATCCAGTGGCAGGACTGATGTAAGAGCAGTGGGATGGGATTTCTGAGGTGCTGTTTCCTCTCATCCTGTTGTTTCCTCTCGTCCAGGACTCAAAGCTTGGAGGCCACAAAGCAGCCGGTGATAGCTGAGAAGGGGATGCTTTGTAAGCTAATTAGTCTGAGCTTTGTGATGCAAATACCTTCTCTTTATGATCCTTATATCCCATAAAATTGCAGACTAGTGCTCCCTTCCCCAGGGTGCAGGCAGGAAAGATTCGTTGTGTGACTAAGGAGGGTGAAAACTGAGTCAGATGCTGGGGTGAGAGCCTCCGAGCTGTCCTTACTGGGAAAGGGAGCAGCTTTCCCTCCAGCCTGAGGCCAGAAGCTGGCGTGGAAGCACTCGTGAGCTGTTCCTGCTGGGGAAAGGAAAGGGCAAGCATTACAAATCTGGCTGATAGTGCTGGAGCCAGGAAGCTGCGCTGCACTTCAAAGGGAAAGGGAAGCTCCTGATTTAACCTCTGCAGGACTGACCCTGGGGAGCGCGGAGCCGGGAGGGAAGGAAGCGTGGTGCATCCCCTGGGTGCAGTGGCAGCAGCCACATCACGAGCAAAACGAGAGGGGTCTGCGAGGAGACGTGAAGTAATTTTCCTCAACGGGGTCCTGGCTGTAGGCAGAGAGGCAAAAAACCCACTCTTTTTTTAGGCAGACAGCAGGGGGGCTGTGGGGTGGAAGCAACGAGCTTTCTGGCTTGTGCTGCTACCCTTCCGCTGTGCCTCAAGGGCGTGCTGCAGTTTTTCCCTTGATGCTTTCCACATATTCATCCCTCCAGCATCTTCTGAGTTTGAGAGCATCCCCCTGGTCGTGAAGGATAAACAGCAGCCAAGGGGGTGATTTTAGGATGGATCCAGCAGAAGGGGCTCGTTCTGCTGCTAGGCTGAGCCAGGTTCTCCTCGCAGCCCGAAGCGGTTATCCTCCAGCGCTGCAGAACGAGCTGCTAATCTGCCTTGGGAAAAAAAATAAATATATTAGCAGCAAAGCTTTTTGGCTTTGCTCTGTGATGGGGGGGCTCTGAGTTAGACCATTAGCGCAGCCCGTTTTAATGGGCCGTGTCTGATGTCTCTGTGCCTGACAGCAGGAAATTTCCCTTTTCCAATGTTCTCTGAAGATTTTATTAGGCGGTTTTGGATCCGTGGCCTGAATTCGGCTCTTCGGTGAGATTTTCTTCCAGCGCAGCCCTGAGTTCTGTTTGTAGCCTGTGGCTCTCACTCTGCCACCATTTTGTTCCAGCATTTTTATTTTTATTTTATTTTTTTTTGGTGTGTGTGTGATCTTTTGTTGTCTGGATAGATTTACAAGCTCCTTCTCTTGTCGAACAGGAACAGTGTGAACCACAAGGATTTCCTGAAATAAGTCTTCTTAGGTGCGTTTGAGGTCTATTTCCCAACGATGCTAATAATAAACCAACTTCTGAAACTTAATAAATAACTTTCAGTACAGCTGTTGGAATGTCTCAGGAGTCTTTCATCTAATTCACGAGTGATCAGTTGTCATCTCGGGGCACGTAGGGGCATGGAGGCAAATTCCTTTACTCATCAGCTAACAGAAGTGGAATAACCACGCAACTGCTCTAGCTTTTTTTTTTTTTCCCTCCTCCAGGGAATGACCATTTAATATTTAAATCAATATGGGATTGATTTAAGTCAATTTTAAGAGATATCAATTTTAGGGATATTTAAATCAACAGCAGTTGCAGATGGAACCTTCCTGAAAGTCAGGTGTGGAAACAGTGGTTTAAAAACCTGACTTTAAGCGTTGAAAGTTAGTGTCCTGGCTTTATTTTCCTGCATGTCAGAGCGCTGGCTTGTTGGTGCTGCTTTTTTTAAACATTCATTGACCTTCACCCCATATTACCTCTGACACTTCCAAGAGTTGACACCAGTATTTTACTCTGGGAAACCTTCATGGCACTGCCTGGAGAATGGGACAAACGTAAAGCTGGAAGAGCTCTCAGGGAAGTTTCTTCACCCCTTCCTAGGACAACACACTCTCTGCCCAAGCTGCTCCCAGCAGGCCTTTTTCTAAGCTGTTTTATTGACAGTCCCAAAAAACCATCAGGGTAAGGTGTTTCCAGAGTTGCCTTTGGCAGTCTCTTCTAATTCATAACTCACCTTTACAATTTGAAACTTCCTCTTGATCAAAACCTGTCTTGCTGAAGACCTTTGCTTCTTGTAAAATTTTTACGGATGCAGAGGGTTTTCCCTGCACTCCTCCTTTGGAACAAGCCTTCAACAGTTTCAGCGCTTGTCTCCTCCAAGTCTTCCCTGCTGTAAACCACTCTAATCCTTTCAGCGCCTCCTTTTGTTGTAGGTGTTTTCTGGGCTTTTTGCCTTTGCCCTCGGGAAGTTTCATTTTTCCCAACTCTTTTGTAGGAGATCAGCCAGCGTTTTCAGATGACTCTTCCTGATTTGGGTGGGATTTGCTGTGTTCACCCCGTGTGCACCACCACCAGCCATGAGCTGTGCATAGATCCGTAGGCACAAACATCCCTGGCAGCAATTTGTCTGATCCAGACGAGATCAGCATCTAATTGATTACTTGCAGGCTAAGTTTACTTTCTTGTAGTGCGCGTGATGTAAATCCTATTAAATGTTTTTAGCTATTTGGACACCTGAGTAAATCTGTGTAACAGCCTCATGCAGGGCTGGCCAGTAAAATTGGATGGCAACAAGTCTTCAGGTGCTGGGGTTACCCTCCCTTGGAGCCTTTCTGTTTCATCTGAGCAAGAAATTAATCCTCTAGCTGTGGTCTGACCCGAGCAATTTGCTGAAGGTGCTCTGCTGAATGCTTCTGCAAAGAGCCCGACGAGGTTTGGAGCTGTGAAAATCCAGAAGTGCTAACGATGATCTGAGGGCTTTGAGGCACCCCGAGCCAGCCTGGATTTGAGCTTGGCAGCAGCAGGGGCTTCGGGGCTGTCCCTGAGGTTGTCTGGCTCACTCTGTCCACCTGCACGTTCAGAAGGCTTCCAGCTTAGCACTGCTGTGCTGCGGGCTAGCTAATCCCTTCTGGGACTTCCCCACTGGAAGTCCCTGCTCACGAGAGATTTATTTTTGATGGCAAAGACCTGGAGGCAGTGCCCCAGCTTCACAGCAGCTGTACAGCCACTTGTGTCTCAAGGAGATGTTGCCCCTATGGCATGGGTGAGAGGAATATCAGGGCTTCTTTCTTCTTCCCCCTGTTTGTCTCCTGCTGCGCTGATGTTACCCAGACGTTGGCAATAAATAACCTGCATTTTATGGCCCAAACACCAAAGTCAGAGCAATCTCAGCTGAAAAATTGGCTGTTCTACTGCCTAGATTTAGGGCTGGGGGGGGAGGAAAGCTCTATAAAATCATCTGGGAATCATAACAGCCCAGATTTTTTTTTATCTGCAGCAGTTGCAGGGCTGACTAACCCGACGTGCAGATGTTAGGCTTTTACGGGCAGGATGTTTCAGCATCGTGGGTATTCACCAGGCTGAGCTGCGGGGTGAAATTACCCCTCTGGCATCCCGAGCTGGGCCCTTGCTGCATCAACCTGCTGCATCAGGCGGTGGCTCTGTGCCCTCTGTCTCTCCTGGCAGGTGACCCGAGCGATGTGGGCACAGCAGGCGATGTTTGCGTTCCCCTGCCTGTGCTTACGAGTGCTTGCAGGCAGAAAATGAAGTTCTTTTTTGCAAGGAAAAAGCCATTAGCTTTGTTTCCCTTTGCACAGAAGCCCCTTGTGCTGGGGAGGCTTCTCTGATTTCTGCACGCTGCCCTTCTCGGTGGTTAGAGAGCACCAAGGGGGTTTGTTCTCCTCTTCCTGCTGCTGACATCAACAGAGAAGGGTGTGAGACGAGGAACCAATTCTGGCACCTGCTGAGATGAACTTTAGGGTGGCTTCTGCTTGCTTTCTGCTGGAAGCATTTAAGGATGGGTCCTGCAAAGTAAGAGAGGAATCCAGCACCGTGAGCTGGGTGCTGCAGGCTGACAGAGGGTGTGCGATGCTCTCAGGAGTCCTGAGCACGTTTGATTGATTTCCTGGTGGTGTCCGATGGCTTCTTAACATTTTCCCTTGATGCCCAGTGGTCTGGCAGATGTGCTCGCTGTTCAGTAACAGGAATTGGTTCGCAGGCCTGCTTCGTGGATTAAAGCTCCGGTTACAGCCGGCAGATTCCACAGGAGAGCTGGAATCTGCTTCGATGGCACCGCCTTGCTGGTTTGGGGCACGCACCTGCACTGTTTTCCTCTGGTTTTGGGTTGTAATTAACAGGATGCTTGGCCGCGTGCCCGCTGATCCCTCCTCTGCCCTCGGCGACCCGAGCTGAGGCATTCTGACCGCTGAAGTTTCTCTTTTAGCTCCAACAAAAGGCAGGAGCCTCCGAAGACCCCGACCACTCCCAAAATCACCACCTTCCCTCCGGCGCCCGTCACCTGCGATGCTGTCCGCAACAAATGCAGGGAGATGCTGACAACGGCTCTACAGGCTGACGGTGAGTGCTGGGGGAAACCCCGCGTTGCCTAAAACATTCAAAATATTTAAAATATTTAAAATATTTCACAGCTCCTGGTGCGTTCTGCCAGAATCCTCCGCACTTAGGGTCAGTGCCAAGTTCGGCACCTCTTAGCTAGGCTCTTCTGGAGCTGCCTTGTGGAAGGATTATTGCTATCAGCTCGGTTTAGCCCCCCTCATCACCCTTTTGTGAGGCTGGCTGGCACCTCTAGATACCTGGATATGGACCTGGTAACTAATTAGCATGGTAATTAAGAACACGGGGTCACATTTGGGCTTCTGTTCCGCAGCCTGCGGTGGGCGGGTCTGGCCAGCAGTTTGATCTCCAGGTGTGCAGGTATTTGCTTCCCTTTCCAGGTCTCAGTCTTGCCTGGTTGCTGTAGAGCGAAGCTGGCATCTCTGCTCACCCCTGGGGCACAGAGCGAAGCCGTAACTCGCTGTGAGGGATTTGTCGGTAACGGTGCTCGTGCCAGTCCCCTCCTGCACTCAGATTCCCCCTGCCCACGCAGGCTGGAGCTGCTTAAACACCGGGGTCCTCTGTGGATCTGGGTTCTGCTTGCACTCGTGCCGTGCCACCTAAAAGAGAGGCAGCTGCAGGTACTCAGTGTCTCCGACAGGCTGATTTTGAGCGCCTCGAGCCAGACACGTGCTTGAGTCCAAGTTGCAGGTCCTCTTGGAAAAAGGGGGATCTGCCCAAGAACTGCAGACTTTGATTAATTCGAAGCCAAGGAACGGAGGCAGCAGATGGAGAAGGTCACAGAGTCGTTCTTTCTAGCCTTGCTCTGTGTGTGTGTGTGTGCTGCATTAAGTGCTCTGTGCAACTCCTAGAAAAACCCTTTCTGTAGGAAGCCTGGGAATTAGTCCCCTCAAGGCTGCTGCTAAGCTCAGCCCGGTTCTGTGCCGCTTTCCTCTGCTTTGTGGTGGTGGTTGCCATACCCAGTGTCCCAGCTCAGAACAGGTTTTTGCACTCTGCTGCTGTTTAATTGGCGAGAAGCAGCACGGGAAAGAAAAGGGCAGATGGAACCCTGAGCTGAGAGCAAAAAACGAAGGCTTGATTTCGATGCTGCCTGTCCTCAGGCTCTGTCAGATCTGCTCTGAGTGGAGCCACTTCTGGTTGACACCAATATCTGGTGAGAATCAGTTCCTTCCTGGTTGATTGCAACTGTGGCAAAAACACATTGGATATGGGAAAAAACACGTGGGATATGGGGAAAAAACCACATTGGATATGGGAAAACTCCTTCTGCGGGGCAGGTTCTCATTAGCTTTGTGGAGTCCTGGTGGAGAGGCAGAGGGCACAAACTGGCTGGATTTGCTTGTTCTCATCCCTGCTCTTTTCGGAAGGGTCAGAGGGGTGCCTAAAGCAAAGGCCGCGGTGCCTTTTGATGGAAAGAGCACGTAAATCAGAACAGCAAGCTCTCTGGCTTTGTATCTCCCAAATACTGAGCCCGGGGACCCCGTGCCTGGTTGGAAAGCGCTGACCTTCTGTTTTCTTGCCTTACAGATGACTACGTTGCCATCGGCGCTGACTGCGAGCACATAGCAGCCCAGATTGAAGAATATATCCTTGCTGTGCTGGGCTTCCTCCAGGGCCTGCGTGTCTCCAGGCTGTGAATTTAATGAGCTGAGAGGAGAAACGGGGCGCTCTGGCTTTGTGGAAAGGTTCTGATGCAGCTCTGCTTGTCGGGGCTGTCAGGTTCCAGCTCGGCTGTGTCCTGGGGCACGCAGGAGCCACCAGCGGTGCTGGGAGCTGAGGGCAGAGCCCTTGCTGGTGTGATTGGCACAGAGATTTCCTTCCTGTTCACACCATCGTGGGCTTGCATGGCCCAAGTTCTCCTTCCTGTCAAAACGCTATTTCCTGCTCCCAGCTCTGCTTCCAAAGGCTTAGCATCTGTCCTGCGCCTCGCTCTTGAGAGCAGTGTGCTCACAGGGGGTAAAATAAGCGGGGAAGACGGAGCAGCAAGTGTAGAGTTGGGTGTCGATGGGGATAATTTTGGAGCTTGCCTTGGCGTGGTGGCTGTGGGGTGCAGCTGGGCTCTCTCTGGAGCATTTTGTGCCTGCCTCGCTGCGAGGGAGAGCAGGTTGAAGAACCAGAGCGTGACTAAAAACACAGATTATTTCTAGTACAGTGCCAAAGCTCCTGGTCTCCGGGATCACCTAAGCCTGTTCTCAAACACAGTGTGAATTTCCCAGAGCGGAGCCTGCCTTTTGCTTCCAGCACTGTGGTCTGTGTCCTGGCAGCAGTAACGCTCCCTGTAGGTGTAGGATGTGCTTGGAGGCTTCGGGGTTGGCTGGAAAGTCCTTGACTGCCGCGTACGCATATACCAGGACATCAAGAACACTGACATGAAGTACAAAAACCGCGTAAGGAGCCGCATCTCCAATCTGAAGGACTCCAAAAATCCTGAGCTGAAAAAGAACGTGCTGTGCGGGGCCATCACCCCCGAGCAGATTGCAGTGATGACCTCGGAGGTGAGGAAGCCCGAGCGGGGTTGGTTTCGGACAGGGAACTGCCAGGACTGCAGATTGCTCAGCAGCTGCTGCCCCAGTGCATGGGGAGGAAGCTAGCCGTGGGGATTGCAGCGTGGAGAGTCTCTTGGGATGTCAGCTCATCACAGGGGTCTACACACGGGCCAGTAACCAAAAACCGAAAGGCTTTCTGGCTTAACAGCCATCTGTAAGCCCCTTCTGTCCCCTTGGTTCCTTCCCCTGCGGTGGGTGTGGCGGTAAAACTGGGCAGATGTGATTTTATTGCTTTTTTTTTTTTTTTTGGAAAGGAAATGGCCAGTAACGAGCTGAAAGAGATCAGGAAAGCCATGACGAAAGAAGCGATCCGGGAGCATCAGATGGCCAAGACAGGAGGGACGCAGACCGACCTCTTCACCTGTGGGAAGTGCAAGAAGAAGAACTGCACCTACACCCAGGTTAGTCCTCCTGCTCCTCCAGCCTCCCCAGCACTGCCCAGCACAGGATCTGTCACGGTCCTGAGCTCTTACAGCTCCTGGACAGGCCCCGCAGCGTGGCAGAAATTTTGCTGCTGGTAGAGAGAAGCTTTTTGCATGCTTGGGGCCCTCTAAAACGCAGCGCTGATGCTTCTGCATACACCTTTCGTTGGAGCTTGTGTGAGTTTCTTTGTTCGTTTGTACAAATGCTGTTTTGCATCTGGAAGAGCAGCACTAAGGAAGATTTCAAGAGCAGCCTGGGAGAGCTGAAAGCAGGTGCTGGGGGTGTGACAGTTCAGAGGAGGAAGGAGTGGGTAGTGTAGAGGAGAGAGGCTGCAGAAACCGAGGCAGGCACGGCGACGGTATTAAAAGCGCAAATTAGGAACGTAGATAAGCTGCAGCTGGACAGATCCCAACGCCTTTAAACTAAAACACGAAGCAGGTGAAATATCAATAAGGAATAAATGAAGTGGTGTGAGCAGGCAGCGGCAGTTCCTTCCCCTCGATGGATGGCTGCTGGAAGCCTCGTACATTGCCAGCGCGTTTTAGTTCCCGTGTTGATGCCAGGCATCTGGAGATAGATGTGCCTCTGCTGTGAGTCAGTGCTGCAGAATGTGCAGATACCCAAAAATGCACCAGCAACCACGCGATTGCTACTGCCTTTGCCGAGTGGGCGCGCCTGAAATGCTCGTGCAAGCCCCTTGACGTGCTTGGATGCGATGTGCAAACACAGAGGAGAGCCAGGGTGTGCCCCGGGCTCAGCAGCGGTCCTGCAGCCCACAGCGTGCCCCGGGAATTCCCTGCCTGAGCTCTGCTGCTCCCCTCAGCAGCACGTGGGCCCCGAGCTCCGCTTGTCGTGGGCTGGAGTCCGACTGCTTGGAGCTGGGGCAGGTCACGGCAGCATCTTCTCAGCAGAAATATCAGAAGAAAAAAAAAAAAACAAAAAGCTTTTTTTTTATTAGTTTTTCCAGAGAAGAAACAATCGCTGGTACTGACATGTTCTACATTTCAAGTAGGTGAACTGGCATTTGTGAAAGCAGCCAGAGCCAGGCAGTAACATCGGGTGGGAATTACAGAATTTAGCCATCCAGCGTGCTTGCAAAACATGTTTAGTTTGCATCATGCAAATGCTATGGCTCTTGCACGCTGGGTAATTACACATGTAGATCACCATAATTACCCTCGGCATAGCTCTGCTGTCTGATTCGCGCAGGGAGTGCCAGGATTTTGAGCACAGACCTGGTGTCTTGTGGTACTCAAATGCCATGAAAATCGGATTTTTAGCAAACCATGTGTTTCTGGCGCGAGCCAGCCAGAGGCAGCCGTCACATCTGGGTTAAATATCAGAGTTCCTTAATGGCTCAAACACAAACCAGACGAGAAATGTGCAGAACCTGGTAACCCGGAGTCTGTTTCTGGGAGGCCAGGACCTGGGACTGGGTCTGTAAACGGGAGGAATGGCTTTGAGTGCTTTTTTATGTGTTCCCGTGGAGCGAGTGCTAGATGGGCCGAGGGCTTTGCAGCCTCCCAGCCAGCTGCATCCATCCCTGCGTGGGGCTGTGGGTACTGCCAGAGCCACCCACAAAAAATGGGCAGCACAGGGCTGAGCAGGGAAGTTGCTGCCCCAAACGAGTCGCTCAGATAGCGAGGGGTCTTTAGGCAAGAATCTCTTAAAGCAGCTGCTGCTGAACGCCGGTGGGATCATTTTTTTTTTTTTTGGTGCTGCCTTGGTCACAAGCACAAAGAAAAGGTGGCTGTAAGGGGAGATCAGAGCCCGAGCTGCTCCGTTGTGTGATTCTTGGAGGAGATGCAGGGCTCTGGCAGCAGTGCAAGTCCTTGAGGATGCTCCAGGCCAGGGGAGCAATTTGTGTGCTGTAGGTGTGTGTCCTGGTGCCCTTCGTGGGTGTGTTTTGTGCCTGGTGGGGTAGCTCTCTGCTTCCTACCCGTGGCCTTTCAGCACCAGACGTTTAAACTGCTCTGCTCTGTGCCCGCTGTACCCTGGGCACGCTGGCAGGCGGTTGTTGCTGACACTGGCTTAATAGGTCATGATTTATCCGGGCGTTTCCACTAGAACGGGGAGCTCGGCTTAGCTGCAGGATTGGGAATCCTCCAAGGGGTCGGAGAGCGTGTGTGTGCATGTGGAAACTCGTGTGTAAAACAATAACCAGATCCGTTTCGCAGGGAGGCTCCCTGTGCTCTCCCAGGCCTCGGAGTCTCGATGATTTCTGCCGGTGTGACCAGATGGCCAGCAGAAACCCTCGGTGGCCATCGAGGAGCTGCTCTGTGAGCCCCGCGCCGAGGCCACCGGCGGTGCTCAGCTCTCCTTTCCATTTCTCCTTTCCCAGGTGCAGACCCGCAGCTCCGACGAGCCCATGACCACCTTCGTCGTGTGCAACGAGTGTGGGAATCGCTGGAAGGTAGCACACCAAGGATATTACTGGCACTGAGGGGTGTGATAGGGTAGCCGTACCCGCGATGCTGCAGATGCTTAGCTGCTGTCCTCAGAGGTGCTTGCCAAACGCTGCCTGGCTCTAGCGAGTGATCTTTCCTCCCAGCACAGAGGCAAGAACTCCTGGGTTCATCCCATCTCTGCCGACCAGCTGGGGCCATGTCTCACTTCCACCTTCCCCATCTCCTTCCTCACATCCCTGCTGCTGCCACGACCAACTCCACAGCGCTTTTCTCGCTCCCTCCGCCACCCAAGAGATGGCGGTGATGACATCGTGTAGGATTTTTAAAACAAAACAAAACAAAAAAAAGCTCTTTTATACTGTGTGCAGAGCTTGGATGTGAGCAGAAATCTCCCCGTTGATGGTGAGCAGAATTGGCACCGCTACAAAGTGCCAGAGCCACAGCTGAGAGATTCCAAGGGGAGCTCTGTTTACCCCCTGCTGCAGGGGGCTGAGCGCTGCCTCCGCGCAGCCCCCGAGCCCTTGCCAGCTTCCGAAACAAGAACCATCATCCGGATCCCCATCTTCTAGGCAGCGAGCGCATGACCTGCACCTCCCCTTGGTAGTGAGGCTTTCTAATCAGGGTTTAAACTCCCTTCTCTTGCAGTTCTGCTGATATGTGCCATGGCCCGCGAGCGGCAGCCAAACGAGAGCGCAACCTCCATCCGCCAGCTCCCACGGCAATTGTGTTTTGTGTCCCGAGTGAGTTTGCATTGTCACGCGCTGCGAGCAGCCGCGGGGAGGCCTGCCTGCCTCTCTGCTCGGGCCGTGCTGGAAAAAAGCCGCTCTTGTGGGCTGACGGCGTGGCAGGAGAAGCTCACTAAACACACTTAGCTGTTATTTTCTCATCTTTAAGCGAGTCCGGTCACGTTTTCTTCAAAAACTAATATTAAACATTTGTCAGTTTCTGACTTTTTTTATTTCAACCCTGTGGGTGCAGCGCTTTGCCTTCGCGCCGCGGAGCCGCCTGGAAGCGTGGCGGGGAGGCGGTGGCCGGAGGGCTGGGAGATGCTCTCGTTGCTTGGAGCACCAGAAAGCAAGAAGCTGCTCGTGGGTGCGCCCTCGGTGCTTCAAGTCAGCCCATAAAACCATCGGGCCTGCTCCTGGGGCACTGGGGGGCAGCGCTGGCCTTCCTCACCCGGCTGAGGTGATGGAACAGAGCTTTTGGGGCAGCGAGGAGCTCTGCTGGGAACCCGTGGCATTCAGGTGATGCAGACCTTGTGATCTCACGCCTTTCGATGCCCATGGCATGGGATTGCTGCACAGAGGTCGAGAACATCGCTCTCCACAGCGCAGCAGCCTGAAAGCACGGACACCAGCCACCAAAAAAAAACATGTTGGAAGTTTAGAGGAGCAGGGAAGGGAGGAAGGTGCGCCCGGCCCACCAAAATTTTGCATTTCCTAGAGCTCCATCCCTCTGTGGAAGGGAGATCTCGTAGCCAAGAGCTCTGTGGTGACCTTGCGGGGACCTGCGGGATCGGGCTGGTGGTGGGGGGTAACCACAACCTGCTGGGGAAACTCTTCCCTCACGATAGCTTTTGGTCTGAGGCTTAATTCCTCTTCCCTTCTCTTCTTTCCTCGCTTTTGGCCGGGGTGGTGCAGCGCTCAGGGGACCCCCACGAGCTCTCTGAGCACTGTGGAGCTCTCCCCTGCGCTTCAGCAGCACAGGAGCGTTTGCAGCAACATCTTACAGCCTCGCTGCCCCGTTCCGGAGTGAAAAACAAGAATTTCCACGGGCTTTTCAGCATGCCAGACAGCAGACATTCACCAGAGACCTTGGAGATGCTTCGAGGGGAGTAAGCAGCCACATGAAAGCCACGGAAAACGTGCTCGCAGGCCCTTTGAGGGCTGTGTTCCTCTCGAGGCAGCGATCCCAACAGGATCCTTTGCTCAGGGCTTTCACTTCGCGGGGTGCAGCCAAGTCTCCCAAGAAGGAAAAAGATTCAAAGATGCTGACAACTTGTTAAGCCTCACGAGTCTTGCGGCGGATGGGATTATGCGAGCCAGGCTTGTGAGGGAACAGTGTCCTCACAGTAATGCTTTAAAAAAAAAAAAAAGAAAAAAGCTTCAGGATCTAAACCCGAAGCTGGCCAAGGCGCTCTGGCTCGTGCGCTGTGAACGGGAGCCAGCTCGTTACCAGTTGCTGTTGCTTTTTCTTCTCGTCTCACTGTACGGGGGGAGTTGAGCTCGGGTGCAGTTTGCTGACAGCCCCCAGTTGCAAAAGGAGCTGCAAAAACAGGAGGAGATCCTGAAAAGCTGGGGGGCTGCTCCCCCGTGGCAGTCCGGGAGGGGGAAGCTGTTGGGTAGAGGTGTCTCAGCGGGAGAGGTTCCCCTAAAAGAAGCTTAAAAGCAGCAGGAGTGGGAGCTGGGGAGGAATTGGGGTCTGCTGGGGTAAGTGGAGAGGGTCTGACCCCCTGCCGTGCCTTTAAAACAGTTTTAGGGCTGCTCAGCCTCCAAACCTTGCACCAAACAGATTTGGGGAAGCAAGGCAAGGAGGCAAACCCAGACTCAGAGGTAAAATCTCTCCAGTTTGGGGTCCGAGCTCTGCCCTGCTGCTCTCCCTTGGCCCAAGCCCTCATCACTCCCGAGCACGAGCAGGGAAAGCCCCGGGCAGCGAGGCTGCTGCTTTGCTGCTTGTACCCACCACAAACCTTACCTTGGGTTTTATACGGCTGCTGGGAGCAGGAGGGGAGCTGCCTGCCACCGAACCGAGCACCCAAAACCCCGACATTCCTGAGCAAACAGCCCAACTCTGGGCTCTCTCAAAAAATCCCTTTGCTCCAGCTGCTGTTTCCAGCTTGGCAAACAGCACCGCGTTCACGGAGCTGAATTTCCACCCAGTCACACCACTGGGAAGGAAGGAAGCAGAACCAAAAAATAATAATAATATAAAAAAAAAAAAAGCTGGGAATTTTTTTTGTTTGCTTAAAAAATACCTTCAGTAAAAAGAACCAGGGCTTTTTTTCTTTTTTTTTTTTTTCTTTTCTTTTTTTTTCTTCTTGCTTTTTGAAAAGGGAGGGGATGACCGTGGCAGCCCTGGGGTGTTGGATGGGGCTGGCAGAGGGGGCAGCCTCCAGGACACCCCCTCCCCGCTCTCCGAGTGCATCTTTGGGGCCAAATCCCTACTGCTGGGGTCCTTCTGGAGGCTGAGCCCCTCGGGCTGCCTCCCTCTGCCCCCCCCGGAGCAGCTCTCCCCCAGCAGGACGTGGGATTTTGTCCTCTCCTGTCCCCTTTTCCAGCCCCGTGATGTCCCCCAGACATTTTTGGGGACCCAAAGGGGCTGCAGGACTGCTCCACCCCCCCCGTCAGCCACTTCAAACAGACGGAGCGAGGTAAACCTGACAAGTTTTTATATGTACACAGACGTCTGTCAAACCCCCCTCCCGCCCCTCCAGACGAAACCCCCCGCCCTCCTCGTAAAAGCCAACGAAAAAAAAAAAAAGCATTTAAAATAAAAAGATTAAAAAAAACAAAACAAAAAACAACCGACAATTGACCTTCCCTTCCCAACACCTCCCCCCCCATAAAGAAAAACCCCAAAAAACAGTCCCCAAATGGGTCTCAGGTGGGAAACGGGGATGTGCTGTGTCCCCAGGGGTGGCGGAGAGGGGATAAAGTGACCTCTTCAAAACGGGGGGCGAGGAGGGGTGCGGGGGGGAGCCCCGGGTGCTTCCCCAGCTCGACGGGGCCGGGGCAGGGTTCAGTAGTACGGAGCCACCCCAGGGGGCGGCTGCGGTGCCACGACCCCCCCCATGGAGGATAATCCTGGAGGGTGGCCCTGGGGGGGGACCCAGAAACCGGCCTGAGGGTTCGTAGGTAAAAAGCTAAAAATTCAGGGGGGGGGAGGATTCGGGAGGCTGGCGGGTCCCCAAACCCTCCCGGGGGTGCCGCATTCCCCGCAGGTGTGTCCCCCCTCCCTTTTAGGACTCGGAGGAGGAGCGGGAGACGCTCTGGAGCAGCGATTTGTATATGGCAGAGTTCAGGAAGCGAGGGTAGGAGTCTCTGTGCATCAGGGTGTAAATCTGCAGCTGCGCGTCGTCGAAGGTGTGCGAGGACGGCTCCTGCATCTTGCGGTTGATCACCTCCCGCACCCGCGAGTCCAGGCTCACCTGGGCATCACAGAGAGAAATTAGGGTTATCATTGGGGAAGCCCGGCACCGAAAAACCCCAACCCCGAGACCAAACCCTGGGTGAAAACCTCGTGGGGCAGCACCAAACGGTGGCCCCGTGGCGAGAATTTGGGGACCACCCCGGTGCCGTGCACAAACGTGCTGGCAGGACGGCTCCATCCCTGGTAAATTCCTGGGGACAGGGTGTAAAATGGGCTCACACGGGGATGGTTTTGGGGTGGTGCTGTTCTTCGCTGGGTGCTGGGATGCGGCTCGGGGTGTCCCCACCCGGGGCTGCTGCAGCATCTCCTCGGCGCGCTGGTGCCCTCGTGAGGCTCCAGCCCCGCAGCACAGCCCGGCTGAGCCATGGGCCAGCGCTGCGAGGAGCTTTGGGATTGGGATTGGGATTGGGATGGGGTTGGGGACACTGCTGTGCACCAGCAGGGGGCAAAGCCTTCACCCTGTGCTGTCGCAGGGGTTTGGCACGATCCCTTCGCACCCCTGCTCTCCTCCTGCTGAACCAGGGTCCCCAGCGCATCCCCGACACCCCAAACAGCCCCGTGGGTGCTTTTTCCCTAACAAAACCGCCCCAAAAACCTCACTTTTACCCCGCACGACCCCTTCCCGTGCTCTGGAGGGGCCCTGCCCCGTACCTCCTTGGGCGAGAGGATGGAGATGTAGTCCTCGTAGATCATCCTGGCCTTCTCGTCGATGGTGTGTTTGTTGCACTCGGTTTTGAGCTCCTCGCACGCCAGCCAGAAGAGCATGTTCTCCTCGCTGTACTCAGTCCGCAAGAACTCCCGGAAGACGTTGCGGCCCGCCGGGCTCTTCATCAGCTTGTCGAAGGACTGTGCCCAGCCCCGCACCTCCTCGGGCGTGGGTTTGGCGCTGCGGGGTCGCCGGGATAGGGGGGAGGCAAGGGGAAAAGCATTACCGCTGGAGCGGGACGTGGGATGGGGCTGGAGGGCTGGGGATTCCCCACCCGTGGCTCCGTGCGCATCCCCTACAACAGGGATGGTCCCTGGGGACCCCCAAACCACCCCAAATGCACCCCCTGTGCGCCTCCTGCTCAGGCTCCGCTCATTGCGGGGCTCCCGGAGCTCCCCAGAAGCGCTCACGGGGTTTGTCCGGGCTCTGTTCGGCCAGGCTGGACCCTGGGCTAGGTTTAAGCTGAATTTCCCCAAATTAGACCCATTTTGCTGCCAGTTTTGCACTAAGATAGAAGGGAGCACAGTGCCAAGCTGCACTGCGGGCAGGTCCGAGCCACTCGGGGAGAAACCAGGCTCAGGGCACGGCTGCTCCCTACAAACCCTCCTCGCTACAGCAAGGCAGGGGCAGTAATTACTGCTGGCTAATTAACACACCTGACCCCTGGGTGCTGCACCAGGTGCTGCGCAGAGCACCCACGGGTGGGCTGTGTGCTGAGAGGGTCCATCCCATGCCCGAGGGAGCAGGGGCTTGGTGCTGGTACCCCCGTTCTGACCCCCGTGGGTGCCACAGGAGGCTCGGCGCACGGCTCCCCGTGCCGTGCCGTGCCAAATTGTGCTGTGCTGTGCCAAACTGTGCCGTGCCGTGCCCCCGGTGCTGCCCCTGCACTCACCACGCTTCACAGTTTGGGATGGTCTCCAGTTTGGTCTCCCGAGACGCCCTCCATGCTCGCTCCCGGTCCTCGTTCCTAACGGGGAGACGGAAAGGTAGAAACGGGCGGCAGGGGCCAGGGCTGCTGCCCCCACCCCGTCCCCGATAACTCCTGGATGAGAAATTTCCTCCGTGGGCACCCACGCCCCGCACCCCCGGCTCTTCCCTGGGTGCAGCAGCACCCTGCCCGCCCCCAGCACCCCGGCTCCCTTCTTGTGCAATTCCACCCCGCTCGTGCAATGATTTCCTGCGCTCGGGGCACCGCTGAACCGGGGCTGAACCGGGGCCGGGCAGCAGCACCTGCAGAGATCAGCAGCCAGGTGCAGCCGGCGTGCACCACGCCACCAAAAAGTGGCTGCAGGACGCTGTGGGCAGGGTGCTGGGCTGGGTTATCACCCTCTCCAGCTGCCAGCGGGTCCCGGTTTGTGCAGGAAGCACGCAGCAGGGATAAATTTGGGATGGGCAATGGGCTGAACCCTGCGCTCTTGCTGCGCCGGGGATGCCCCAACCCGGATCCGGAGCGCACGCACGACGGAGACACCGGGGCACCGGCGTCCCCCCTGCGCTCTCCGCTCCTCGCCCCCACGCTGCGAGAGGAAAGCGGCCTCCAGCCAACTTCCCCCCGCGAATTTCGGAGCCCGGCGCCAACCACAGAGCTTCCTGCTTGCGACACTGCCCCTCGGCGCTCGCACAACGTCGGCCCTGCAAACTTCTCCCCCCCCCTCGGCAGCGGGAGGGTGGGCGAAGCCGTGGCGCGGTGGCTGCGGCTGCGGGCACGTCCCTGCCCACGCTGTCCCCAAAGGGTTTGTCACCCGGCCCTGCCGAGCCCGGGGATGGCTCATCCCGGTCCTTTCTTGCTTTCTGTGGGGTTTTTCTGTCCCATCTCTGCTCGTGAGCTCTCGCTGGACACCGAGGAGGGAGGCAGGGAGGTGGCACACTGCCCGTGCCCGAGTGTCACCGAGCCTGGGGCTGGCAGCGAGGGGAGCTGGGAGCTGCTCCGGGGCCTCGCCGCGTTGGGAGGTGGAGGAAACGGAGCTGGCGAGGAGCTGGGGCCCCAAGGACACAGCAGAGGCTTTGCGGGGCCGCGGTGTGGCAGTGCTGTGGAGGTTTGCAGAGTGCTGCCGTGCCAGCGCTGGGGTGTGCCGTGGGGGTGCACAGGGCTCAGCTCCAGGTCTGGATGCTCCTCCGGGCTCGATGCTGTCGGTGGCCACATCAGGGATCTCAGCGGGCTGACACGGAGGATGGAGAAGAGCAGGTGGGCTCCCCAAAATCCGGTCATCCAGTGACAAAAGGGAGCTGGGAATCCTCGGAGAGGAGGGGAGGCGCAGCCGACGGCGAGCAGCTGGTGGTGGCCTGGCTTTGGGCAGCACCTGGGCCCAGCTCTGCACAGCACCACGCACAGAGTTCCTGCTCCTGGCTGTGAGACCTGCCCGGAGCAGCCGGGTCCCCAGGAGGGGGGGGCCAAGATTTGGGATGAAGCAGAAGGGCAGCGGAGCTCCCCAGGCTCTGCGTAGACTCCAGCAACGTGTGTACCCCTCCCCACAACAGCCCGGCTGATTTCCCGGTCCCCTCCAGGTCCAAACACCCCCCTACAAACCCCACGCGCACAGAAACATCCCAGAGGTGAGAGGGGGGGGGCCACACACGTACCACGAGCAACTGCAGCAGCAGCACCAGCAGAAGCAGCAGGCGTTGGGGCGGTGGTTGCTGGCGGGTTGCACCGTTGTCGGAGAAGTCTCATGCCGGGACATCGGAAGGGGTGTCTCTGCGGACGCGGGTCCTGCGTACTGGAGGGCACATGGAAGAGGGGGTGAGCGAGCTGCGGGCAGGACACCGGCACCAGTTTCCCCCCCCCCAAAAAAAAAAAGCAGTTTTTGGGTCCGTGCTGTGGGTGCCACCACCGGTACGAGCACGGAGCTGAACGCGGGACCCCAGCACCGTGACTTATTTTGGGCTCCCGCTCACCATCAGCCACCCCCCAGGCCCCGGTCTCTGTCTCACCTGCGTCCCAGCCTCATACACGGTGGACGTGGGGGGGTCGTGCTGCGGGGGCCCTTCTGCTGCTCGCCTGCTCCTCCCAGGCTGCGGGTCGTCACCCGTGGCGCCGGCACAGCCCCGCTAGCGTCCCTGCAGCCTCCTGGATGGAGCCTGTGGGAAGCCGGAGGGGGGGCACCGCGTTACCCCCGCGGCCAGCACCCATCCCCGAGGGGAGCAGCTCGGGCAGGGCTGCTCCATGCTGGGAAGGGCCCTTGGCACGCTGCGGGTTGGGGCACGGCGGGCAGAAACGGGGCAAGAAAAGGAAGTGAAAAGGAAAGGAGGAGGGGAAAGCGAGGCAGTGGGTGCGCTCCACGCCACGCTGGGACCCCTCTGGTGCTTTGCTGGCAGGGTGATGGCTGCGCCCTGCCGGGCACCCATGGGTGCGGGGCTCCTGGGGCTGTTCTGGGCTGGCCCCAGGCTCGATGCCCCCTAAATTTTGGCTCTGCAATGCTGTGTTTGGCTTACAGCAAGGGGATTGGGGGTGCTGAGCTCCGCACGCAGCAGTGGGGCCAGGCAGGGAGCGGGGCTGAGCCTCACCCGCCCCCAGCCGTGCCCCGTGCCATGGCTGGGCCCCAGGGAGCCACATTTTGGGGATGGGGAAGTCAGAGCTGCTCTGCGGCATCATGTGAGTGGAAGGAAACAGGGGGGGAAGTTCTCCGAGCTCCCGGCACCAAACCAGACCTGAGGGGTGCCAAACGCTGACTGAGCCCAGAGCTCTCCATCACGGCTCACCCCACTCGCCCACCCCACAGCCCCCGGCAGCCCTGTCCTGAAGCAGCCCCTGACCCCATTACCCCTCATCTCATCCCCCTGGGTCAACATCCTGCCACGGGTCCAGGGTTTTGGGGACAGGCTGAGCAGGATGATGCTGGTGGCAGGCGCTCAAAGCCGTGCACCAAGGCTGCAAGGACCGGGGGCTGCGGTCGCCCCCTCCCCGGGCACGGCCACCCCATGGCAGAGCCTTCAGCGAGCTCCTGGCCCCGGCCCTTGGAACCCTCCCGCTGGCTCCCCTCGCTCCCACAGGAACTAAAAAGGAGCGAGGCTGTGTTTCTCTCCCAATTGTCCCTATTTATAGACCCGAGTGCTGGCAGGACGGCTGTGACCTTGTCACCCGGCTCGGCAGCGGGCTCTGCGCCCTCAGACAGCGCTGCTGTCAGGTGCATTTCAAAATCCTCCTTTTTTTTTGGTGTTTTTTCTTTTTTTTCCTTTTTTTTTTTATTTCCCCCTTGGCTTTGCTTCTCCCAGACCCACCCCCTTCACTCCCCCCAGCCGCTCTCCCCCCTGCCCGCAGGCAGCAAAATCCCACAGCAAACCGGCAGCGACCGGGGCGCGAATTACAGCAAGGGGGCTGCGGGGACGGGGCAAACACGGGGGAAAAACCGGGTGCTGGGAACACCCTGATCCAGGCGGCCCCGGGGCAAAGAGCAGGAGGCCGTGGGGTGGCCGAGGGTTGGGGACAGGGGGACGGGGCCGCAGGGATGGGGCCACCGGGGCCGGCGGATCAGGAAGCGGGGCCGCGCGGTGCCGGAGGGGAGGCGCGGGTGCGCACGAGGCTGCGAAAAGAGGAAGGCGGCCGAAAAGGGGACGTTTCCCAAGCAGAGGCAAGAGACGCCCCGACAGCCACCCTCGTCCCCACCCAGGCAGCTCCCCGAGCTCCCCGGGGGCTTCGCCCGGTGCCGCCCCGCAGCTCTCCCCATCCCAACGCAGAGCGCACCAACGGCGGGGCCGTGGCCGTGCCACCCCGGTGCCTTTCATAGCTCCAAGCCCCCTTTTTGGCTGCGCACGACGGAAGCTGCCCCAAAATCGCTTTGGAAGGGAAATGTCCCCTTCCCCAGGCTGGCTGCCTCTTTATTGGGGCCGTCATGGTGTCGGCTCGGCCCCCAGGCACCATGTGGCACTGCTGGCCCTGGCCAAAGGCACCAAAACCACCCCACAGCGGCTGCAAGAGGCCCCACGCACCCCGACACCACGCAGCAAAGCCACGGCGAGCGCTGACCCAAGCGGTGGGGGCGATGCCCCCGCACGCACCCCGTGCTCCCTGAGCTGGGCACGGTGCCTGCAGCCACCGTGGCAGCGCCGGGGCATCCTCCTCATCCTCCTCTTCCTCCTCCTCCGGCCACAAATCGGGGCGCAACCGAGCGCCGCGCCCCGCGCCCGCCCCGGCCCCGCCTCGCCTGAGCCCCCCTGCACCCACCCGGCCCCCGTTGGGACGTCCCAGGGGCAGCCCCGACGTCCCCAAAGGGCCAGCACCGCAGCAGCATCCGTCCCTACCTGCGCTCCGGCCATCGCCACGCCGCCGCCGGCACCCGGCTGGGCTCGGCCCGGCAGCCTCAGCGGCGGGAGCGTGGCATCGCCCGGCTCGGCGGGCAGGGAGACGGGAGAGAAAAGAAGAAAGTAAGAGAAAAGAAAAGAAGCCGAACACATCCTCTCACAGGAAAGGGAGTGGTAAGGGAAGTGGCAAACTCAAACGAAGAGTTCAGACCTTTTTTGGGAAAGCCCCGCCAAGGCCCGGCTGCTCTCCCCGCCGCTGCTCCGTGCCGGCCAAGAGCCGAGGGCGCCCGCTCGGGTGGCACGGGAGGGCAGTGCCACGGGCACCGGGCAGCCCGGGGGTTACGGGGAGCCCGCTGGTGGCGGCGGGGCCGTGCTTTCTTCCTGCTTCCTCCCCTCGGCTGCCTCCTGTCGATGCTGTAAGCGTGAGAGCAGCGTGGGGACAGGGCTGTCCCGGCGGTGCCGGGTGCCCACCGCGGTGCCGAGCGTTTTGGGCATGGGGACAGCACCAGGGTGTGCCGGTGCTGGAGCAGCCCCGCAGCCGAGGAAAGAGCCACCACGAGGATCTGAGTGATCCCAAGTGATGCAAGGATGTGTCCTGAGCACTTCGAAGAGCCTGTGGTTTTCACCGCGCCGTGCCCCAGGATTTTTCGGGTCTCCAGAGCCTCCCAGGGCTCTGCCCGCGGGGCGAGGAATTTGGCAGCGGGCGAGCGGGGCCGGTGACTCCGGGCGGGCTGAGTCAGAGCCTCGCACGGTGCCTTCCAGCAGCATCTGTGCGAAACAGGGATGCGCCAGCCTGCTTGACATGCAGAGTGGAGCTGAACTCCCTCGGCCAAGAGTGACTCACAAACAAAGTTGTTTGGCTTTTTTTTTTGAAGAGAAAAAAAAAAAACAACAACACGAGAGAGAAAAATCAGACGCGCGACCTCAGCTTCCTTGATTGAATTTGCCCTCGGCAGCGCTGTGGGTGGAGGGGGCTCCACCCCCGGCCTCGGGTGCAGACGCCGGGCACGGCCCCGCTCCTGCCACCAGAGCCAAGGGGCCGTGGTGACGGCACCGTGGCCACCCCGGGGCAGCTCCGAGCCCTGGCCGCAGCACGTGCCCGTTATCAGCCCGGCCCAGTGCCCTTTTTGCTACCTCGCCTTCCCCAGAGGATGCTGGCTGTTATCTCCCACGCCGTGCACCCCAGCACCCAAAAACAAGGGCCGAGTGCGCACCGCAGCAAGGGGGGAGCCCCCTGCAAAGTCCCCCCACGTTTTAGCGGCTCCTTTTCCTGCACCTTGGCCCCACGGAGGGGTACGGCACCGGGTGGGGATGCTGTGGGGCCAGGATTCCCACCGGGCACCTGCATTTCCCAGTGCACCCAGCCCAGCTGGGGCTTCACCACCCGGCCTCATCCTGCCTCTCCGTGCAGCAGCCGAGTGGCGCCGCTCTCCTGGGGGCTTTTGGGGCTCTTTTGGGACGTTTTGTTTCTCCAGGCACCCGAAACTCGTTTATTTTCCCTGGGGTTTCCCTTTTCCATTTCCCAGCCCCGCGTGGGAGCCCCCAGCACCCCCAGCTCGCTGGGCACCGCGGGTATTTTTGTTTTCCACCATGGGTGTTGGCTTTCTGCCACAGGAGGGAGCATCCCCTTGTATTTTAGGGGTCAAAAACAGAAGGCCAAGCTGGACCCACAGCCACACGAGCTCTGCTGCCTCTCCGTGCCCCAGCAGGGCTGCAAAAACACCCGGAGCTCGTGCCCCCCACTGCCACCCGTGGAAGTATCCCCACGGGACGCTGCGGGGACACTGCGGGGCTCGTCCTCACCCTGCCACCCTCAGCCCTTCCAGCTTTGGGCACGCACAACCTCAGCACCTCCGACCTCTGCCAAACTTGCCTAAATTGGGCTAGAATCGGCCCTCATTGGTGGCAGCGGGGCCGGGACCCCCGGGACCCCTCTCACCCCATGGGCACACGGCGCCGCCGAGCCCCGCAGCTGCCTCCCGCCCCCGCTGCCTGCCCCAGCCACCTGCCGGCGCACAGGAAGTTTTAGGAGCTATTCTTAGACACTGTTTTTTTTGTTGTTTTTTTTCTTTTTTTTTTTTCCCTTCAACAATTAGAAAAGGCCTTAAAAAGGCTGGGCTCGAGCCCCCCCCCTCACCATCCTGGTGCCCCTGTGGGCACAGAGCAAGGCTGACCCCTGGGGTGCTACCAGGAGGTGCCAAGCGCCTCCTACAACCACAAGCCGGGCACCGGCCGGATCCGGGGACCCCCTTCGGCCCCGTGGGGATGAGGGCGGAGGTGATGCTCCCACATCTGCACCTCCACCCCGCCCTGCCCGCTGCTGGCTTCCCCTGAGCACCCGCAGAGGCACCCGCGCACGTGGCGGAGGCTGGCGGCGGCGAGCGGATGCCTCCGAGGGGGAGCCCGGCTGTGATTTTTCTGCCACCCGCTACGGCGGGGAGAGAGGCAGGGCCTGCCGACAGGAAGGAGGAGATGCTGCACGCGGCGTTTGGTTCGTCCCGGCACCTCCCTCGTCTTTAGCACCGGGTCTTTCTGCAGCGAGCATCCTCCGAGCCCAAACCCCCCGCTATTCTCCCCAAAACAACCCCAGCCGACACGCCCCGAGGGGACCCCCTTGCAGCCGGCGGCCTTCCCCTCCAGGCCCCGGCTCCTGCACAGAAACGTGGTTAATTATTCCGCGGCGTAAAAATAGCACAATCAGCCGGGGGATTTAATAAGGCAAGCCCTGGCAATTCCACTTCTATTAGGAGAGGCACCGTGGCGGCGTTAAGGCCGGCTCCCATTAAGCGCTCGGGAATGATCCATGCGAGAGGAGAAAGGTCCCAATAATCAATACCAAGCAGGGGCTAAAACGCACGGACCGAGCCCGGAGGCTGAGAGGAGAGAGGGAAGGAGGGAAGGGAGGGAAAATGCATCGGTGTGGCTGCAGCTCCAGCCCCGTTTTGCAGCGGGAGGCGGCAGGACTGGTCGGGCACCTCGAGCAGGCAGAGCCGGGCTGGCAGCACCCTGTGCCACGGCCACAGCGTCCCCGGCCCCTGCACCGTGCACCGAAACGCCTCCATCGGAGGGATCCAGCCATGGGTAACCCCCCCTGGGAGAGGAGAGCACGGCGAGGATCTGATCCTGCCTCGTTTTGTCCTGCAGGAGCCCAGGTGAGGTGTGCAGGGGACGCTGCCCGACCCCATCCACACGCAGGCGGGAGCGCTGGCACGGCTCCTCCTGGGATTCGGAGTTATTTGGGGGCTTGGGGAGTCCAAGAGAAGCAAGGAGGAGAAGAGGAGGAATTGGCCTTTCCGAGGAAATGAGGAACTAAAGGAGAATAAACCCGGGAGCGAGGTGAAAGGATGGGGAAAACCCCTGCGTGCCGGGGAGCGCTGGATCAAAGGGCTCGCTTACCGCGGCTCCGCGCGCTCACCGATGGGTGCCGTCCCCCCCAGCCCCGGGATGAGACAGGTGACGTCCCCCCCAGCCCCAGGACGAGACCAAAACCCCGTTGGGAGGCTGCCGGCCTCATCCAGGGACCCACACCCGGTGGTTTGGGCTCCTGAGCTGGCACGGGCAGGAGGTGGCTCTGGACACACCGAGGATGTGTCCGGCCCCGCTCCCATTGATGTGGTCAGGGCAGGGCAGAGCCCAGTGGCCGCTCTCCTGGCACAGGGACCGGCCAGGGCCACGCCAGCCCTGTGGCCGGGGGCTCAGGGAAACACCTCCCAAATGCTGCACACAGGAGGTGTCAGCTCAGCTCGGCTGCTAGAACCCAGCAGACCCCTGCCCTGCAGGCTCCTGCCAGCCTCTCTGCTCCCCCCCATCCAAGGGACACCCCCCAGGAGAGCGTCCTGCGGGCTGACACCTCAGGCAGGGGAGATTTTGGTGACCTGGCTCCTTGCCCCAGCTCCGGAGCACCCCAGGGGACAGAGGTGACCCCCACACAGCGGTGATGCTCAGCCCTGTCCCTGCTGAGCACCGGGGAGCTCAGCGAGCAGCTCGCCTCCTCCGTCTGTCTGCAGCCCCGGGGGTTATTTAAAAACCCAAACCAAAGGGGAAGAAAGGCGGCGGGGTTCGGCTCGGCCACCCCCGGGGAGGAGCTGGCAGCGGCAGAGGAAGGAAGCGCTGTCACCCTGTGCCACGGGGACAGCCCACGGCCGCTGCTTTCCGCGCAGGCACCGCCGGCACCGGGGCAACCTGGGCACGGTGAGGGGTGGCCCTTGCTGGGGACCTCAGTGAGTCCCCTGATGTGACAGGCCACCCTGGTCCTTTTTTGGAGCCCTGGAGGCGAGGGAGGCCCAGGGGATGCTGCAGGGCTCGGCTGTCACGGCAATACCCAGCACCAAATCCCTTCTACAAGCTCCCTCCTCGTGGAGAAAGCCACGCCGGGCTCACGAGCGGTGTCTTTCCTCGTTTCTTCTTTGTTTTCCAAGGCTGGCACGAAGCTCTCCCTTCCTTTTCCGGGGTTGCTGCCCGCTAATGCCAATCTGGGGCTGTTTGCTCTTCTCCTGCCCTTTGCACTGACGCGCTGCTCGGGCATTCCTCCTCCCGCTCGAGGAAACTCCCCAAGCCCCCATCGGCTTCACATCTTCAGGAGGGGGGAGCCATGGGAAAAAAACTCAAACCCTCAGCCCCAGACAGCTTTGCCAGCTCCCCGAGTCCCCTCTTTATAGGGCCAGCAGCAAATTTGGCTCGGGGGAGGGCTCCTGCGCCCGTCCCGCCGGCCGCAGCCTCCCCTGCCTTGTGCCCGGGCGAGTGCTGACAAGCGAGGTGGGAGCGTGGAAAAGCCTCGTCCCCAGAGCGAGCAGATCTGGGCGAGGAGCGAGCAGATCCTGAGCGAGGAGCCCTCAGCAGGCCAGCCGAGAGCAGGCCAGGCTGCTTCCAAGGGTGGTTAGAGAACTGGAAGGGCCGCTTGTGCCGAAAACGCTCCCATGCGCTTCCCCGCCGTCAGGAAACCCCCTTTTTTCCATGCCCGAGATGAATATTCAAGCCGAACCCCAAAGGACTTTGTAGTTCTCCTGGCTGCTGCTGCTCCACCCTCCTCGGGGTTGTGGCCCTGCTCCTGCAGGAGGCTGTGCGGGACGGGGGGAAAGTAGAGCGACCCCTGCCTTGATGCTGAGCTCCACGGTGCTGTGCACCCGGCGGAGCTGACAGCGTGGGCTCTCCCCTCCCTGTGTGCCTCGGCATCCACCAGGCTTTTGTTTTCTCTGTGTTTTTACCCCAAAGCCACCCCCTGCTGGGTCCCCGGGTGCCACGCAGCACCTGGGCGCACCCAAGGCACGGGCACGCTCGCCCCCAGCACGCACGCACAGCTGGATTGGAGGCATCCGATCACTACAGGAGGTCGTGGGTGTCCCAAAAAGGCACGGAGAGTGGCCCTGGCCCCATGGGAT